GTACAAATTCAAATTGTAAAGTTGTACCATAACATAATGGTACAAATTGCTTTATGGTACAACCTAAACTTATACATTTAATATTATGGTACAAATTTAAGTTGTACATTAAAGCACCAATGCTATATAGCATAGTAGAAGTGCTCGACAAAGAGAAGTTTAGAGGTACCAAAAACCGATTCGTACTCCTTTTGTCCAGTAGCGACTGCCGACTAACTAGAGATCAAAATGACGATCCCTCCGTTCAGATTGAAGACTAGATATCCCGAAACCTCTATCCAAATTTCAAGACGATTCAATAGTTTGAATTTTTAGAATGCTCACTTGAACAGGCTACCCTGTTGCAGAAATGAAAAACTGCAACTCTTTATTTTTCTGTTCTCTCTTTTGCTTATCTCTTATCTCTTTTTGATTCCTTGTCCAAAAAAATGAAAAATTGTATCCTTTGTTCACTTTTACCAAGCAATAATAAAGGATCTTCTAGAAAGACTTTTGAACTCCCCAATAAATTCAAGATAACCCAAAGTTAAATCGGTTACTAAGGCATACCCGTTTGAAGCTACGTTGTCTGAGACAAGTATCTCGATTGGAAGATTGATGAAATTAGATATGGAAGAAGGATAAGAGAAGGTGGAGGCAATTGTTTCGGAAGTTGCAATAGACCTCCAGCAAAGAAAGATTAGAAGTGCTCACTCAAAGCTTGAAATGGAGGTTCACAGGCTGGGCCCAGCAGAGCCTTCTCCGCCAGGTTCAAGGAAGTGCAAGAAATGAAGGGGTAGGTCTGGTTGCTAATCCAATTTATGGGTACATCAGTGTGTATATGGAATGTCAGGGGTCTAGGGGACTAGGATAAGAGATGCAGGGTTAAAAAAAACTATCGGGCGGCACAGACCAAAAATTGTAGGTCTTATAGAAACCAAGTGGGCGCAGTGTGACGAGAAGTTGATCGGCAGTCTTTTCGGAAGGAGTGTTTGCGATTGGATTGCTAAGGATGCTGAAGGAAGTGCCGGGGTGATTGTTGTGTTTTGGGACAAGTTATTCTACTCAAAGATTTCCATCTCGGAAGGAGCCTATTTCTTAGTTGTGGATTTGGTGGAACTGAGTAATTCAAAATTTTGGCATCTTGTGGTTGTTTACAGGCCACAAGAAAAGGCAGATAAATTAGCGTTTCTTAGAGAACTTTGAGATTTTTGCTTATAGAAGTTTGAGGCGATCTGCATTGCTGGGGATTTCAATTTAGCTAGGAGTCATGATGATTATCAGGGATCAAGAAGAAGCTCGGAGTTGATGTATGAGTTTAATTCCTTTATTAATGGCAATGGTTTGATGGAATTTCCCATTGGTGGAAGTAGGTTCACAGGGAGCCATGGTTCGAACAGGTCATCTCTTTCTAGGATCGATAAGGTTCTGATATCACAAGATTTTGACGACTTATATCATGATTGTTCGCTGACTGCAATGGAGAGGGTGGTTTTCGATCACAACCTCCTAGTTTTAAAGTGGGGTGAGAATAGGATTATCAAAAGGCCATTGCAGTTTCAGAACATGTGATTGGAAGATCCCCTTTTCTTTCAGGAGTTGGAAGGTTTGATGGACCAAAATTTACAAGGAAAGGGAGATGCTTTCTTGCTTGCAAGAAGACTTCTTCTTATTAAGAACAAGCTGAAGATATGGAATAGAGAGGTTTTTGGAAACATTGATAATAATGTTGAAATGTTGTTAAGGAAGATTAAGGAGTTTGACGAAGCTGAGGAGGGGCGAAGATTGTTGGACTCGAAAAAAGAGGAGAGGTTGAGGCTAGAATTTTGTCTAAATAGGAGTATACTCTTACAAGAGATTTGCTGGAGACATAAGTCGCGGAAAATTCGGGTTAAAGTTGGGGATAGAAATTCCGATTACTTACATAAGATGACAAACTATAAAATGAAGGTCAATAGAATCGACAGAATCAGGTTGGAGGGGCGGATGGTGGAAGATGAAGAAGAGATTGTTGTGGGCATCGTTCGTGCTTTCCAGGAAGTTTTTAGGGAGAGTATTGGTATTAGGCCTTTCCCTGGAGAGAATTGGAATCTGCAACTAAGTGACATGGAGCAAGTTTGGTTGGGTAGGCCATTTTCGGAGGAAGAAATATGGAAGGGTATTAAGGAGTGTGACGGGAGGAAGGCGCCTGGCCCCAATGGGTTTACATTGGATTTCTTCAAGAGATGTTGGGATTGGTTGAAGGGTGAATTTTTGGAAGCTTTCCAGGATTTTTACGAGACACAGATTATGCCGAAGAGTGTCACTAATTCTTTCGTTTCTTTGGCGCCTAAGAAGGACGTGGTGGAAGAAATTAAGGATCTTCGTCTGATTAATCTTATCGGGAGTTTTAATAAACTTATTAACAAGGTGTTGTCCAAGAGATTGGGTTTGGTGCTTCCCAAGCTTATCTCACAACATCAACATTCGTCGGTTCATGGTAGACAAATTTTGGAGGCAGGTCTCCTGGCCAATGAGCTTGTTGACAACAGACCGAAGAGTAGGAGGCCATGACTTATGTTCAAACTATATATTGCGAAGGCATTCGATAATGTCAATTGGGGCTGCCTCATAAAGATCATGGAGTCGATGGGCTTCCCGGACATTTGGTGCAGGTGGATTAAGGGATCTATGTGCTCTTCAAACATTTCGATCCTTGTTACAGGGAGGCCAAAGGTTTCTTCGCAGTCTCAAAAGGTCTTCTCCAAGGGGATCCTCTCACTCCGGGATTATTCGTAATGGTTATGGAAATTCTCTCGATGATTTTGAAGCGTGTTAGAGAGGACGGGAGGTTTGAAGGTTTCTTCATGAACGAGGAAAGCAAACAAGGAGAAGTTACTCATTTGTAATTCGCGGATGACACGCTTTTTTTGTAATGCAAGTCATGACCGGGTTCTAAATCTTCTGGCTACTCTTGTTTGTTTTCAATCGGTGACGGGTCTGAGAATAAATTTGGACAAGTCCATGATGTATACAATAGGTGATGTTGATGAACCAAGTTTCTTCGCAGATATCTTTGGTTGTAAGTGGAGTTCTGATCCTCTTAAATACTTGGGCTTTCCCCTGGGGGCTCAACCTAATGAGAGAGCGATTTGGAATGGCATTATGGAGAAATACAAGAAAAGGCCGAATGGATGGGGAAGCAGGAATCTGTCTTACGGGGCAAGAGTGCTTATCAAGTCTATTTTTTCTAGCAGCCCGACTTGCCTTTTCTCTTTGTTTAAAGCTCCTGTTTCGGTGGTGAAAGAGTTTGAACAATACTAAAAGTAATTCTTTTGGAATGGTAGGGTTGACAATAACAAACTGCCTCTGGTAGAATGGAGACTGTGTAAAGCTGAGATAAGAGATGGAGGACTGGGAATTCACGATCTAAAAAGTTTTAACGATGCGCTTCTAACTAAGTGGGCGTGGAGATATGAGTTTGAAAGTGGTAGTTGGTGGCGTGATTTAATCGATTAAAAATATTCTAATCTGACTTCGGTATGGCAGACTAGGCGTGCGAGAAACGGATTTTCCAAATCTGTCTAGGTCGAATATCAGTAAGGAGTATGACTTGTTTTGGAAGTTTGCTTGTTTGGAGCCGGGAATTGGTACTATGGTTTCGTTCTGGCACAATTTTTGGATCCCTGACATGGTACTTGCTGTCTCATTCCCTCGTGTCATCGCTGCTGCCGATGACCCTAAAGCATTGTTCTGCGACGTTGCATCCTTTAATGTGAGACGGTGAGTTGGAAGGTGAATTTTAAATATAATCTAAGAGGTGTAGCTGAGAGGGAAAGGTGTGAGTTGTGTAATTTACTGGGATCTATTGATATCTCGAGAAATATTTATAGTCCTTGCAGGTTAAAGTGGAATCTTGAAGCAAATGCAAAGTTTTCGATAAAGTCCCTGTATGGAAGGTTGGCCATGGCGGATTACAGCGGGGTTGAAGAGTTCCCTGCTGAGAAAATTTGGAAGACGGTGATTCCGAGCAAAATATGTTCCTTCTTGTGGCTCGTCTTTCATAACAGGATTCTGACTCTGGACAACTTGAAGAAGATAGGTTTTGTTTTGGCAAACAAGTGTTGTCTCTGTCAAGCAAATGAGAAGTCCATTCAACATATGTTCGTGGAATGCGGATGCGTAAAAGAAGTTTGGTGGGAGGTCTACATCAGGGGAAATTCAAGACCAGGTCTAGTTGTTGATATTAAAGCATCATCTCTAACTGTGCTGATACGGATGGGGATAGTGTTGAAGAATGGTTTGATTACTGCACCCTCCATGCTATCTGATGGTCTGTGTGGCTTGAGAGGAATTAGAGGGTGTTCGAGGATAAAAAAAACTTACAATTTCGATTATGGCTAAGAAAGCAGCTAGACTTATGATGGAATGGATTTCTGCTCATGGTAAAATACAGGTCGATGAAGGATATAGATGGCTAAGAGACCCGGAGACTAGATTATAAGACCGCAGGGCTGTGTCATTGTGTGATTCTTTGTACTTTGCGTGGAGGAGTTTCGCATATGGGAGGATCTCAGGTTGATTTGCGTTGGGGAGAAGTTGTGTATTGGGTTGTAGCTTTCTGCACTTGGGGGTGCTGGTTGTTTTGTTTTTTATTTGTTCTGTGTTCGGGATCTCTTTTTCTTTCTCTACTTTGACGGATTTCATACAGGAGTGGATTGGTCCATTTAGTGTGAGGTTCTGCTGATTTTTTGTTTCTTTCGCTTTAGCTTTAGCGTTTGTTTTTGTACTTTGGATCATTCCTCTTGATCCTTTTTCCTTTGTTATAATAATACCATCTCCCTTATAAAAAAAAACGGTTAATGCAAGCACCATATGAGTTGGACAAACCCAACAAAATGTAATAACAATCGTTACCCTCATACAAATCGGAGTGCATTCCATCCACGTGCTAACACAACCACAAGCCCACGTCTCATGAATGGTTGCTATTGATTAGTTTTCCTTGTCGTTGCTATAAACTTGTTATAGAGTTTATTTGATTCGAGAGAAAATTTTCATATTATTTTTTTTTAATACGATTATTCATACATATATCATATTCGATAATCGATCTTTACGATCAATGCATGCAAGCAGGCGAAAACCCAGGACCCCCATAGTAAAAATGTATCCCCATGTCCTGTTCCCATTTCTGCACTTGTATGTCGTAACAAGCTGGCCTTGTCGCCTGTCCTGTTATGCCCTTAGCATCTTTGACACGACCACCATCTGTTATATATTTCAAGTTCCTAAACCAAGCTGCTTTGCCATATCCTTCGCTGGGGAAATGGCCGCTCCCCATTTCAGTAGACGTGTGGAACCCTCGTGGGTTCGAGTTCACAATCTCGCCTCCCCACTCGAGTAGACTCGCCGTTCCCCTCAGGCCGCCGTTGAAGAGGTTTGCCGGCCAATATCCCACGTCTTCACCATTCAGATTGAACCACCAGTTTCCATTCTGATCATCCTGTCGTTAAAAAAAAAAACAAGCATGTTATATATATATATACTAAACACGATATGTGTTAACTAGTCTACAAACATATAAGAGTACATAGGTTGTTAATTATTACCCTGTGGATTGTCATTTGGAGCAGGTATTGCGCCCCGCCATAAGTGGAAGGAGGCTGTACTTCGGCACCAAGCGCGATCTTGTGGTTGGTTTGAACAAAGCCAGGGCAAAGTAAATTCATACATCCTGTTTTGTATCCATCGGGCTGTACGTTCACAAAATTTCAAGTTCAGCTTTCTTTCTTTTATTTTATCAAGACAAAATCCATCTTCATAGAATGAAATGACAACATTACTATACCAAAACTTCATACAGGGTGCATGTCTTCTGAGAAATTTTGACAATAATTATCAAGTTCAAAGAGGTGGAATTTCTAAGCACTTACAGTATAATATATGAAGAGGCTCGGATAATTGGTAAGATCTGTGACCTGCACCAGGGTCGAATGTTCAAAATCATTAATAATAATTAATTTTTTTGGTTAATTTTTTAATGATTGAGGTTACAATACAAAATTCTTCTTATTTGTAGTACTACAAAACCGGATCTAATGGATATAATTTGAGAAAGAGAGTACAAAAGGTCTATATTATAGAGGGTAAGGAAGGAGATAAGAGATTTAGGAGAGAGCTTACAGGAATTTTGGGTCGACGCGGATTTCCAATTGTGTTGTTAAAATACTTTTCAAATCTTCTTTAAAAATTTTAACGGATCATAACTTATTTATCAAATTTTGCGTAGAAATATAATATTTTATCCTCTACAAGATAATATCAATTTTGATTTTGAACAAAAAACAATTTACATTATCTTAAAACTGGTATATCTCGATATTACCACTGGACATTGTATAATTTTGTAAATCTTAGTGTGTTATTTCTGTGAAAAAATTAAAATTCTGAGTTAAAATTAAGGAGATATGACTCGATTAATAAAAATTAGACTTTAGAAAAATTAGACTTTGATTGATAAAAACAAAGACAAAGGGGTGTGAAATTACCAGTTCGCTTCTCCTTGTCTCTTAAGGAATTATTGGTCGTTAGATATGTGTAAAATAAAATTATAGTGACTAATTAGTAATTACCCTCCAGCCAGCCTCAATTGAGTCGATACTGCTGCCTCCACCATCGGTAACCCAGAACTGAGCTGCACTCAATTCATTTTTAAGAGTTTTCGGGTTCCATACATTAATTTCACCAATTGCTCCATGGAAGTTGGATCCAGGCAAAAACGCTACAGCAAACTGTAATTATACGTATATCATAGTACAACTGAAATTAGTGTCAAGCACAATATTCCAATGTTTTCATAAATAAACTAAAAAAAAAAACAAAAGAATATTCCAACGTTAATAAAATGCCTTATTAGTTCGTGGAAACTGATGTACGATAGTAGCATGTACGTACCTCGGCTACATCGCCCGCCGGCGTTAATGAGTTGGTCGAAGATCCCAGAGGATGTCCATTTTTTCGCCGGAAGTTCTCCTCCGACGATCTCAAAATTGGGATGGTTCCCTCGGGACAATACTCTCCGTTCTTGCGCCACCTTTGGAAGCTCACCACCGAAGAATTATCCGACTGTAATGGTCCCTTTGGTTTGATCCCAATTGGGTACGAACTGGGTTTCATCTAAGGAATTAAATAAATAAATTACTCATCAATCAACAATTCAACGCCTCTCCACTTTAGTTAATCCAACTCATAAACTTACTTGAAGAGTGTGATTTGCGAGCCGTGGATGGCGAAAAGCCGGTTGCTTGTAGATATCCACACAATCAATGACCTCGCCACCTTCACTCTATGCCACCAAATAATCAAACATAAAAAGACCTTTTAAATTTCAGGAAAAGAAATGTATTTTGGAGGTCCTAAAAACAAGTTAAAATGTTCTCTATTTACCTTAACGGTTTTTAGTATGCTATTCGGATCGAGCAACAATCCGTTTCTTGATGCACCATTTACGCCGAAGGCCGGAAGTAGTGATGACAGTGAGAGGATTACTAACAAGCTATTGAAGCTCATAATTTTGTGATCTTTAGGAGCTTCCATTGCAGAGACTGAGACTAGATGAAATTATTATATATGAAATGAAAAAGAAAGCAATATTGGCTCTTATATATAAATCTTCTGTGTCAAATATTTAGGAAAGTAAATTTTAGTGGCACAAATATATAGCATAATATTCAATGTTTTTGAATTTTCAATAAATTGTAAAACCAACAAATATGGAAGCACTACTCTATTCATTATATTATACATAGAAACTCAATAATTGTGGATATTATTGCTCTATTATATTATTATTATTATTATCTTACTTTACAAAGAAAAATTTATTGGATTTTTATAGACTAGATTATTAATATGTTTTATCAAAATGTACAATTGTTGATTTTTTCGGTTTAGGAAATAGAGAAAAAAAATATATCTTAGGGTGCGCCTATGCTGACATGCATGTCACCGTAACTTGCACTTTTCGGTCGACCTCAATTAGGATTAGGTCGATCTAATATGTTGTTTTAGTGTAAACACAGTTTTATGGTGCCTACTTTGGAGATTTATATCTTACAATTGGCTCGATGGCAATTGGAGATTAATGGCTTGTTTTGAAGCTGGAGTGTCCCTCTACACATTGAAGTGCTTGGGAGCTCAATAGGAAGTCCAGAAGACCATTTTTGAACCTAATCAAAAGGCTATGCCAAAACTGGGAAACTGCCTGAAAATGGCCAAGTCTGGGAAAGTGTTTGTGAAACCTAATTTGGAGCTCAATTCGAGAAGCATGGATGAGATTCGAGTCCAGGGACCTCTACCACATGAAAGTAGGTATGTTTGTCTACAACGTCAAGGCATTGGATGAATATTGGATATCTGGAAGGCTACACACAAAAGGCTCGAAGTTGTTATGAAGTAAGTTGCCTTGTAGCACAAGACTGAAACGACATATTAGGTCGACCTAATCCTATATGAGGTTGACCTAAAAGTGCAAGTTACAGTGACATGCATGTAGGGCTGCAAATGAGCCGAGCCGAGCCGAGTTTACCCCAGCTTGAGCTCGGCTCGTTTATTAACGAGCCGAGTCGAGCTCGAGCTAGCTTGTTTACAAAAATCTTGACTTTTATTTGGTACTTCATTTTGTATATCATGATACATATGATTTATTTTGTTAGCTAATCTCATATTATACTTTGTTGGTATCATATATCATTTAGTTAATAAATTTTAACTACTCCAAATCATGTTATTTCATAGTAACGAAGCAATCTATGATACACAATGTTTTTTAAAGTAGAAAATAAGATATATTTGCTCATATACTCAACGTTTTAAACTTTATATATGGTGAGATATATAATTTAACAACCATATGAATTAAAAACATAAGATATAGATTGATTCGTTCATAAGTCGGTAATCGAGTTGGCTCTCTAGCCACATGTTGAGACATATCATGAGCTCTAAACGAGCCAGCTCACGAGTTTAGCTCAACAAGCCACCGTGTCGAGCTAGCTCGCGAGCTTCACGAGCTGAAGAAAGCTTAGCTGATGTTCGGCTCGTTTATTAACGAGCCGAGTTTCGAACGAGCTTTTCTCGAGTCGAACGCCGAGCCGCTCACGAGCAGCTCGGCTCATTTGCAGCCCTACATGCATGTCACCGTAGCAAAGTCCTATATCTTAACACTAATATATGTACGTTCTCGAACACGGATTTGGTCAATAACTTGGTTGGTTATTATCAAACATAATTATTTCTACAGTTAAATTTAACAAGTTATATATCATTCTTTTTAAAAACTTTTAGACTAAAAATTTAGATTAATTGCGCTCTTCAAAATGATATTCACTTTAATTTATTGTGCAACAAAAAATTGAGGCATATATTACATATATTTACCATGGTGGTAATGCTTGGTAGTACATAAGATATCATAATGGCATGAAGTGTACCATATTGGTGGTAAAATACCTCGGATACCACTTAAGTTTCAGAATTGGGGCATGCATACCACTTAAGTTTGAATAGGGCGTCGGGTACCACTGAACTCTATTATTTGTGCACCCGGTACCACTTAAGTTTAATGTTAAGTGCATTCCGTTAAAGTTAACATAATATTCTTGGAATATTCTGTTTTCTAAATTTTTTAATTGGTCCTTCTACTTTTCTTATTGTAAAAAATCATTTTTGACTTATGAAAAACATTAATTTTTATTATTTAATTGGTATCCTCTTTTGAAAACTTGATACCAAATTAATTTTTGAATAGAAAATTTAAAATAAATTATTATTATAAGTATTTGCAATTATTATTATATTTTCTAATAATTTAATTATTCTCTTTTTTTTAAGATTTTGATATCAAACCAATTTTTGAATAGAAAATATAGAATCAATTATCATTATAAGTACTTTAAATTACCATTATGTGTTATAATAATCGAACAATTTGCTTAAGCAAATATATTCTATGAATACTATATCGATATAAATAATATGAGGATGTTATATTTAATTGTCGTACATCATCTGGATGTTGTATAATTTTCTTGGTTACTTTCGTTCTATTTTTGTTCTAAATTTTCTTCAATTACTGTAATATGTTTAATTCTTTCTAACTATGTTCCATTTATCATTCTTTGGTCTTGATGTATTGATGATCGATTAGATTCTATTTTAACTATTTTAATGGTACTTCTTATCGGATTAGTGATTTAAATGGATCTTCTAATATTAATTTTAAATATTTATTATTATATTCTATATATTTATTCTTCTTCTTGATATTTTTGTATTATTTTTACTAACTTATCTATTTTATTAAAAATTTTGATTAGTCATTTTAGTAATATTATGTTTAGAAGGTTTTTTAATTTCTATATTAGATAAAAACTTGTTGAAATATAGTTTTGGATGTTTTTAAAAGTTTTGGGTACCAAAAAGTAATTAAAATTTTGGGTTGGATGAAAAACTAGACGGATGCACATTTTTGTGACTTTAATGGTACCCGACGCCCTATTCAAACTTAAGTGGTATGTCTGCCCCAATTCTCAAACTTTAGTTGTACCGGAGGTATTTTACCCACCATATTGATATAAATATATAGCATAGTATATAATGATTGTATATACATGATAATATGAATATACCAAGCACCATTTATCATATTTTACCACCTTCTATCACCCGTTATCATCCTATATCAGGATGGCAGTATATTTGATCCTAAAATTATTTTATTGAAAATTTGTTGATCACAATAGATCATTATAGACGTGTTCCTACTGTGTGAAAAAAAAGTTATCAAAATTTGAGTTACAAATGAAGTGCATACGAGGATGATTAATGAGTGCTATGGATTTTTGTTTTCTCAAAATATCTCAAAATATATTAAAAAATTAATAATTTTATAAATCGCAATGAATCTCTTCCATCTATGCAAATATTTTTAAATTTTGGGTTAAAACAAGTAATATACAAGTCGATTAAAAAGTAAATAACATATAATAAATTTTTAATCTCACCCCGTTAGATCTATCTAGCCAACTCAAAACTAAGGAAAAAGATCTACATATACACAAATGCATACCCAAGCGTCCCTAGGTCATAGTTTGCCTTGAAAATATATGCTACGTTCAAAATTTTCAGCATTTTGAGCAACCCCTAGGAAGGACATTTTTGTCATAATTTATTGGAAAATGATATTCTATCAAATCTAAAATGACAATTTAATCCATGATTGTAGATAGTGATGGTAATAGGGTGGGGTGGGGGAACATAAATACCATATCCGCTCCACACTAACCATGGGTCATGTTGAGTAATACTAGCGTGGGAATGGGACTGGGAGGGTCGACCAATTCTTTACAAGTCAACTCAAGGGGTGCATAAATCTATTTTAGGTCGACTCCTAAGGTGGAACATCACTTCTAGCAAGTGGTTGTTATCAAACCAAGCATCAACTCCTCCATTTCCTTTTGGCAAATTAGTTGGATTTCTTATAGAACCCAAAATATGATGCTTCAGGAAGCAATAAAGTTATTGCCCTTAATAATATTTTGGATATTGTTGATTGAAAGAAAATTCAGCATTTTCTAGATAGAAACAATAATGAAAACTTCATCGCCAAGATAGTGAACCAATGTATCTGTTCTTTTCCTATGGTTCATAAACTCATCCCAACAAATCAAAGTAATGCTCTTCACTTGATTTATTGGAATTGTTCTCTTCCCTCTTTTTATCCCCCTTAAGCTGGTTTCATGTTACTAGCTTTATCTATGTCCTCGTAACGTAGCATAATCACAGTGGAGGATAATCTTTCTATAATCCTTCTCCCAATCAAGCTTTAGTCCTTCTCAGAGGGCCAGCTCATGATATTTGGAGGCCCTGTTCAAAAATTTAAAATGTGGCCCTAAATTTTTTCCCCACAAATTTATTAAAAAGAAAGATTATTAAATAATATACAAGGGCAAGGAAGACGATTAGGGCAACAGCCGACAAGCCAAATGATACAAGGCTTCCAAATTTCCAATCAAAAGTCCCTGCAAAAAAAAAAAATAATAATAATAATTGGTTGGGGCCCAATTCCAATTCACATTGAGCAAATAAAGAAGGGTAAAATCCCAAAGTCCATTCGGCCCATTTCAATTCACACTGCAATTCTTATTTATATATATTGTTGGGTTTGATTGTAAGGACCCAATCATTTGGAGGCCCTGTGATGTGGGTCTGACCAGCACAGGGTCTAGGCCCGTCCTGATCCTTCTGCTGCTCCTTTCAACCAGAAGCTATCGTGGAAACCCCCTAGCGAAGGCTGAATAAAAGTTAGTACGTATGGATCACTTCTCTCCATATCATGACCAGAGGCTGTATATGACTTAATCAGAGACCACTTGGTGTAAGAGTAATTATCCTTCTAATGAAATGTGTCGTCCCTCCATCAACTCTTCACTCGATTGCTTCCATAAATGCTAGTAAATGATGCCAAAATCCACCTCTATTTCTTCATTCATGAGGTTTGAAATTAACCA